AGGCTTCGATTCTTTCCCTGCCCAAGGGAATAGAGGATTTTGTAGTCTACTGTGACGCCTCAATCACAGGTATGGGAGCAGTGTTGATGCAGCGGGAGCATGTGATAGCTTACGCCTCGAGACAGTTGAAGCCTCACGAGGCTAACTATCCTACGCACGATTTAGAGCTGGAGGCAGTGGTGTTTGCCCTCAAGATTTGGATACAATATCTTTATGGGGTCCGTTGTACCATCTACACGGATCACAAGAGTTTGAGATACCTTATGGATCAGCCGAGTCTAAACATGAGGCAGAGGAGATGGTTGGATGTGCTGAAGGATTATGATTGTGAAATCCTTTACCATCCAGGGAAGGCCAACGTAGTGGCCGATGCCTTGAGTCGAAAGGTGACAGCAGCCCTATCAGAGACTTATGTTTGAGGATGACAGTGATCACTCCGTTGTTGGAACGGATCAGGGAGGCTCAGGTTGAGGGCCTCAAGGAAGAGAAGCAGAAATGTGAGAGGATTGTGGGTCGAGCAGCTACGTTCGATTATGATAGTCGGTGGTTGTTGACCCTTCATGGGAAAGTGTGGGTACCGTATGGAGGCGAAGTACGGCAGGTGTTGATGGACGAGGCTCATAAGTCTCAATTTTCTATCCATCCAGGGGCAACGAAGATTTATAGAGATCTTCGACCCCATTATTGATGGCCCTGCATGAAGCGGGATGTTGCTTGGTATGTAGAGAGGTGTCTGACCTGCAGGAAGGTCAAGGCAGAACATCAGAGGCCTCACGGCAAGATGCAACCGTTAGACATTCCCGTGTGGAAATGGGAGGACATCACCATGGATTTTATCACTAAGCTTCCCAGGACCGCACAAGGGGTAGATTCGATTTGGGTGGTAGTGGATCGGTTGACGAAGAGTGCTCATTTCATACCGATCCAGGAGAGCATATCAGCAGAAAAGTTAGCCGATATCTATGTGCGGGAGATAGTTGCACGTCATGGAGTGCCGATATCAGTGGTGTCAGACCGAGACGTCCGTTTTACATCCAGATTCTGGAAGCGGTTCCATGATGAGATGGGTACTCGTCTTCATTTCAGCACCGCTTTCCACCCTCAGACGGACGGGCAGAGTGAGAGGACGATTCAGACTCTCGAGGACATGCTCCGAGCATGTGTTCTAGACTTCGGGGGCAGTTGGGATACGTATCTTCCGTTAGCGGAATTTTTGTATAACAACAGTTATCATGCGATCATTGATCGACCTCCCTTTGAGATGCTTTATGGGAGGAAGTGCAGGACCCCGATTTGTTGGGGCAAGGTCGGTCAACGGGTTATTAGGAGCACGGAGGTGGTGCTCAAGACGACCGAGTTGATTCAGTAGGTTCGTGGTAGACTGCAGACTGCGCAGAGTCGGCAGAAGAGCTACGCCGATAGGAGGCGTTCAGATTTAGAGTTCTGGGTAGGCGACATGGTCCTTCTGAAGGTCTCACCTTGGAAAGGTGTCATCAGGTTTCGGAATAGGGGAAAGTTGGGCCCCAGATTCATTGGTCCTTTCAGGGTTTTGGCCTGGGTGGGTCGGGTTGCTTATCGATTGGATCTTCCGGCAGAGCTTAGCCAGATCCACAACACTTTCCATGTGTCTCAGTTGAGGAAGTGTTTGGTGGATGAGTCAGCAGTTGTTCCTTTAGAGGATATTCAGGTTGATAGCAGCTTGAATTATATCAAGAGACCGGTCGCGATTCTGGATCGGAAGGCAAAGACCTTGAGGAACAAGGTAATTCAGCTAGTGAAGGTGTAATGGGAGCACCGGAAGGGGTCTGAGTGGACATGGGAGGCTAAAGATGAGATGAGAGAACATTATGCCGAGTTATTTGCAGATTCAGCAGCAGCAGCAGACTTCGAGGACGAAGTCTGAGTCAAGTGGGGGAGAGTTGTAACGACCCATCTCTGGTACGTTGCTTTTATGGTATTTATTTTTGAAGTTTGTAGAGAACTCGGCGAGTCTATGTCCCGACTCGTCGAGTAGAGTCGCGTTTTTTATCAGCTTATAGATCGACGACTCGGCGAGTCCATATTCGGGACTCGGCGAGTCGGCCTGCCAGGTAGAAACCCTAAATCTCCAGGTTTGCACCCTATTTAAACCACCTTATCAGCCCCAAACTCGCCTCTTTCATCCTCAAAACGTTATCTAAGATCATCTCATTGAGTTTTTGAGCATTCTTGGTGTAATTCTTGAAGTTTTGAAGAGGAGAAGTAGGCTAAATCCAAAGAAGAAGAAGAAGATCCAAGTCCTTGCTTCCATCTTAGAGTACTTTGAGGTAATGATCAGTTTCTTCCCGTTTTGTTGATAGAATTCCCTTTATAAGCATATTTAGCCCATTCTTTAGCTTGTTCATAGTAGAGAAATCATATTGGATGGGTTAGCTTTCGAATCTAGCCATGTTTCAGTTCCCAAAATGTAGATCTATCAACTTTATGCACCCATTTTGCATGATAGCCCTAGATCTACTCTTCCAAGTGCCTTTCTAGCCTTTATACCCTTTTGTATGTTTTTGTACACGTAAAGTTGGGAACTTTACGTGGTTAACCAGCCTTAGGAGCTCAGATCTATATATTGTATGCAGTGGTTTTGAGCAGAATCGAGTTTTTAGAAGTTGCATGCATAAGACTCGGCGATTCGTTCTTCGGACTCGGCGAGTTGAGTCGCGAGTCCCCAATTCTTCCCCTTTGAGTGATTCCGAGTGGGGACCAGTGAGTAGTGTATGGACTCAGTGAGTTAGAGGTTAAACTCAGCAATGGAGGGACTCGACGAGTTGTTCATACAAATCGGCGAGTCCAAGGCAATCTTCTTATGATTCAAGAACAACTCGTCGAGTTGTTCATACGACTCGACGAGTCGGATGAAGATGAACTGAGTGTTGATATAGAACGGGAACTCGTCGAGTGTATGCCATACTCGACGAGTAGCAGCGAGCAGGGTTGAGAAATGAGAGTAGGGACTCGGCGAGTTGGCGGCCCAACTCGGCGAGTCAGGTCAATTGTAAGTTGACTTGGACCAGGAGAGTTGACTTTAGCTAGGGGTAAAAGAGTCATTTTACCCCAATACAGTTATTAGTATTTGATTGAGTGTATTTTGTGGAATTGTATCCGGGGAGATACCGGAGCAGCAGCAGATAGTTCCCGAAGCCACACACTCAGCAGCCAGATCACGAGGTGAGTTTCCTTTCAGTAGGAACGGGTCTAAGGCCACAATGCCGGCCCGTTTAGGTAGCAGTAGTTTCCGGACTTCGGTCCGATGCAGATTCTAGTATGTTTGATGCCTTCGTGGCTCAGACAGGATTTTGTGTTATGTGTTCCGGGTTACAGCCCGATGTAGTATGCTATATATGTGCTCATGTTAGTTGATATGCTTATGTGATGCTATGTTCAGTATGTTCCGGACTTCTATCCGATGCAGTCAGTTCCGGACTTCGGTCCGATGCAGTTAGTTCCGGACTTTGGTCCGATGTAGGAGGCAAGGTCTCAGTAGTTCCGGATTTTGATCCGATGTAGAGGGCAAGGCTCTGGTTAGTTCCGGACTTTGGTCCGATGTAGTTTTCGGACTTCGGTCTGATGCAGTGGGCAAGGCCCAATATGTGTTTATATGTATTATATGGTATGTGGTAGTTTGGGGGAGCTCACTAAGCTTCGTGCTTACAGTTTCAGTTTTGGTTTCAGGTACTTCCGCAAGCAAAGGGAAGAGCTCGGGTTGATGGCATCACACACACCACAGCTTCAGTTGTCCTGGGAGTTGTTTTGGTTTTCATAGATGTGATTGATATAGTCTTGATACAGTTTACTCATAACACTTTACTTTTGTTTGTGAGATATTGACGTACGAGTTTACCTTATGATTTTATCATGGTGTTTTAGTAATTATTCAACAAAAAATTTTGGGTCGTATTTTGGCATGTTTCATATATATATATATATATATATATATATATATATATTATATATATATATATATAATATATATATATATTGGTTGTGCTATTGATCAATGTTGGGCTAAATTTATGTAAGTATCCATGAAGAGTTAGCCCACATGATATATGGATCATAACCTAACTGTATAGATTAGGGTTTACCCATGACCCTTGGAATCCTACAATGTATATATGTTATCCCCTTTGCTAAAATTGGACCTAAGGGTTCTAGGATGAGAGATAACGGGTTTTAGAGTGTCTAACCTCTCTTTCAAAGTCCTCCTTTCTTCATGGTGTTTATGAACCATTTTAGGCATCACATATGAGGTGTTAAGATCTTGAAAGGCCAAAACTATGGCTACAATAAAGAGGTGTTCTTCTAATTTGATTTTATGATTCATGTACAAAAATTGTATGCTAGTTGTGGGCTTCATGCTTTCACTAATAGAAAAACAGCCTTTTATGACACACAATTTGTATCGTAAAACGCTCAGACAACGCGCAAATGCGTGTCAAGGAAGGCCCTGTCATAACGAGAGACGACACGCTTTTGCACGTCGTCTATAGACGACGCGCATTTACGACACACAATGTGTATCAGTAAAACCGTTGTCAAGATAGGCCATGTCATAAATGAAGATGACACACATTTTTGCGTATCGTAATTTTGAATTTTTTTTTTAAATTATTTATAGATTTACTAATTTTCAAATTAAATTTGCATTTCATGTCTCATAATAGAAAATAAAATACCATATACAAAAAATACAATCCATTCCACAAAAGTTAATGTCATACAAATAATCATTCCAATAGTAGACAAATATTTGTACATTGTCATTAAGAGGTTTTCCCTAACTATATAACCTAGTATTACAATGCTATTTCCATAGTTTGTGTACATTGTTGTAAACAAGTGTGTATTGAAGCACCTTCCATGCAGTACTACCCCCTTGACCAATGCTAGTATCTAAATCAAAACTTTCTTATAAATCATAAGAAATAAGATAAAAGAAAAACTACCCTTTATGTCTTTGAGAAGTATTATGATTTGTATTTATGAAATACCTGCAAGATTTGGGGATTAGCCTGCACCATGGCTCGAAGTGCTTGAAACTTGAACAAAAATATAAATTTTATTTTTATTTTGATGAGATAATTAATAATTAATGTGTATGTAGATATGGTTGACTAGTTTATAAATAAGAAAACTAAATACCTGTGGTCTATTACGAAGAAAATCCAAGTTACCAGCAGCACCATCAAGACCCTTTGCATCCATGTCAGGAAGTCCCTGTACCAAACACGACAAGGTTACAATCTACAAGATCTAAAACAAAATTTGTCAATCTGAAAGTGAAGAAAAATATTGATAACCAGGGAAGAGATCCAAAGGGTTTGAATTTGGTCCATTTAGGGGAACAACTACAGCTGGTGGGGGCTAAGCAATTTGCAGACCTAAACTCCATAAAATTTGATCTAAATATGTCACTGAGATTAAAAATCCACATAAGAACATGCTACAATATTGGTACAAGGGCATGCTTATTAATTAGAATCCAACATTTCCATTTTGTTCCACTCCTGGTTTTCTTCAATCCCATCTTCAAACTCACATAGACGAAATAAGTAGGAAAAGAAGCTTGTTGCTGGGATAAAGAGAACTGCTAAAACAAGAAATGAGGTCAGTTGCTTTAAACCCACAAGGCATATACTTTGTTGATTATCAGTTATTATATGAAGATGAAATTTTTTAGCTGATTCCAGGTGCTGAAAATTGGAAGATAATGATAGTGAAAGACCATCGACTCCACCAACGCCTTCACCTTCATGTAATGTGCCAACAGGAGGTACTCATGTGAATATAGATGGGCCAAAATGCCCTTGTCCAGCTCATGTGACATAGAATTCAAAAGGTAGAAGTATCCATGTGAGAGATTGAATATATAATCTTGTGACATAGAATTCAAAAGGTAGAAGTACCTTCTCCTCAAGTGCTTTTGATTTTACTACTTCCATATCACTACGATGTTCTTGAACATCGATGTCATCTTCATCTGACTTCAGAACCTATATTCGACATAGATTGATGATGAGAGTGATTAAAGACAAAAAAAAGGAGGTAAAACAGAAAGCATCAAATGGGTGTTCCTTGATAGGTTTGTCAAATCTGATAAATTAAAACAAAGATAAAATAAAAAAAATTTGCGACTTTTTATGAATTGAAAAGAATGAATAATATACTAACATAACCACTTAAGTCTGGTGAAAAAGAGAGGCAGGAAGCAAAGCTCTCAGATATCGTTTTCATCATTCTTAAATTCACTCTCTCTCACATGTACACACACTCTCTCTCCCTCCTTTTCTTTCTCTTTTATAGTACTGAGTATTCTCTGCAATCGCCTTCTTGATAGAGAGAGAAAGAGATAAACTACTCTGCAATTGCCTTTTCTCGTAGAACACTTTTCATGAATCTAACAAACCCTTAACATTACATGCTATTAAAAAACACACCGATTTGAATGACAGAGAAAAACAATCCCATCTGACCAAGTCAATACAGAAGTAGTTCAACTGAATGAAGTAAAAGAAAGAAAGAAAAGAAGGAGATCCAGGAAGAAAATATGTCTTCATTCTAACTGTTCTGCTATTAAAAAAACACACCCATTTGAATTATAGAGAAAAACAATCCCATTTGAATTACCTCTATGAATTTTTGGAAAACTAAATGTTCTGGTATATGGGAAAAACTTCATAATTCCGGAAATGCCCATGAAAATGCCCTTCCTCAGGCATCTCCTCCATCAGATGGAATAAGTCCCACTGCTGAAATTCCTTCTTTGCCCCCGACATCGCCTCCATAGTATATTCCTCAAGGTAAAACATCAGCCAAAAATTAATAAGAAGAAGGGTAAGGACGAAGTTGTGATCGAATTAAAAGGAGAAGAGGGAGCATACCGGTTAGAATAAGGCTTATCTGATTGTAATCAAACAATATACTCTCTATTTCCATTAGTACCAAACAAAACAACATAACCTTAGACCTCAGTTAGTTGCTGAATCACCAAGCACAACACGGAGCACTACACCAGGCACAACACCAAGCACAACCCTAAATCTTCGATGAGTCACAGTCACCGATGAGGTGAGGTGAGATGACGTCACCAACCTATTGTAGAAATCACTCCTTTGCGTTTTGAATGGTTCTTTAAAAAAGCCCTAGAATCGCCCCTTTAATTTTGTATGTGTGTGTGTGTGTTTGAGAGAGGGAGATAGAGATAGAGATAGTGATAAGTCTGTCCGTGTGTGAGAGTCGGCATATGTTGAATAGGGTTTTTGAAAAAAGAAGTAGAATCATCCCTTCATGGCGGGCCTTTCAAACTTTTCGGAATTTCATTTCCCACAAAAGAAACCCGCGTTTCATTAAAAAAATATAAAGCGACATACGTAGAGGACGCACATTTTATGTTATGTGACCTCCGTTTTTTTTCAATGTGAAACTTATTTTTGGATGCGCGAAAATGCGTGCCCTAAATCCTTATTGCGTATTATAAAACAGTGCATGTCATGCTTCGTGCGTCGTAAAAGGTTATTTTTCTAGTAGTGTTTGGAAATTTTATTGCATGTATAACTTTAGAAAACTTAGATCCAAAGCTATTAGGGTTATATGTGCACCATAGGAGTGTTATGGTATTTAAAAACCCAACAAAATACACAATTACAGATGCACCTAAACTAGGCCCAAGGGAAAAGAAGTCGGAAGAGAATGATAAAATAGACCCAAGGGAAACTCTTGACAGTTGACTTTGACTACAAGATAGGAAAAAGATGAGAAAATATATCAACTTAAATAATGTAAATAAACAGATTGCTAAGAAGAAAGATGAAAAAAAATACCTCGTGAAATGTGTGAAGAACTTATAGATAGTATGGATGGAATATGTTATTTGGAATTAGAAAAGGGAATTTCCCATGACCATGATCTTGTTCTATAAGAACTCCTTCAAATTGCCTCCCATTCTTGATGATGAAATATACTATTTTATCAACCAATTGTTTCATGTCATGTGGAGGGTCCATAACCATGTGCTCAAGTTTGGGAATTAGAGGAAGAAAAGTAGCCCGAATACCAGAGACTGAAATTGATGTTGTTGAGTCACCTTTTCTCATGCTGCTAGTTTTTACAGCCTTCATTACATTTGGAAAACAATTCTTTCTAATAATAGGTTCATAATCAAATAATCAGTTTTAAGTTTTTTATATTCAGACAAGCTAGGACCACCTAGTTTTTGCTGGACAAACCTGTTAACCAAATAATAAGTTTTAAGTTTGAGTAAATTATACAAATGGTCCCAATGGTTTAGGGTAATTTGTGTGTTTGGTCCCTAACTTATTTTTTTATTTCGGAAGGTCCCTACTGTTTGTTTTTGTTACGCGCTTGGTCCCTGTCTTACCTAAATATACTATTTTTCCCTTGATATTTTAATTTATTTAAGTAAACACACCCCAACCCCACCCCACTCACCTTACCTTACCTACCCCACCATTTTTTCTTATTTAAATAAAATTCGTTTTAGGTAAGACAGGGACCAAGTGCGTAACAAAAACAAACTGTATGGACCAAGCACGTAATAAAAACAAACCGTAGGGACCTTCCGAGTTAAAAAAATAAGTTAGGGACCAAACGTGCAAATTACCCCAAACCATAGGGACCATTCGTGTAATTTACTCTTTAAGTTTTTCTGCATTCAGGAAAAGGAAAATTAGATTCTTCAGAGATTCATTTGAACTTACTCAACAACTGATGAAGGTTTGTCACTCTATTCATATACAACCACAAGAACTACATATGATAGAAAGTTCAAAAAGACAGGTTATTTTGTGAAAGTAGTAATGTATCTAAACACCATTATCATTATGTGGTCAAGTGAACTACACCTTTAGCCAAAGCATCAAGAATGCCATTGGACACTAAATATTTTCTAAAAGCTTCTTTCTTTGCTTCTTTCTCCCATAAACAAGCATATAAGAAATAAGATTCAGCAGTTAGAAATATGTACAGTGGATGTGGATGTGCTTCTAAATCAAATGACATCACGTTCTTTTTATGATTAGGTAATCACATTCTTTTATAAATCAATATTCTTAAATGTCTATCTTATGTTTTATATATGATACTTGCAGCCATTTCCAAAGGTCTATTTGGTTCCCTGATGGGATGAAATGCAAAGAGTAAGTCAGATATATAAGAACCAGAAATCAAATTATAGCTTTTTTTGGTGAGAGATGGCTTAGTAGATTTAAACTAAAAAAGATGCATTGATTCTCAGTTGATTGCATACAAAATACTAAAAAGAATTAGTTTCTGCAGGTGTGACTAAAACAATAGATACCCTAATCATGATTTCCGATGTCAAACCTACAATTTTCTAGAACAAAACAACAATTTAATTACAATTTCATAAGAATTTAATTTCTATAGTACTGCAATGAAGGTTGTAAAAACTGGATTCCTAATTGTTTTGATTCAGCTTCAACAATCTTTTGATCATTAGATTCCTCATTGTTGCCAAGGAGAAAAAGGGCTTGTAGAAAAATGGCTTGTACCATAACCGAAAAGAAAGGCAAACAAAATTAACTCCCAAAATGAGAAATATACAGCAGGAGAAGAGAAACATACAGTATCGAATGTGGAGGCGCACAAGCTAGGGAAGAGAAGAGTCGCACACGGGGGAGCAGCAGTGTAGGGTGAAAACCACATATGAGGCATGATTCTCTCTCCCAAAAATTTGAATCGATAAGTTGTTGGATAAACAACGGAGTTTTCTAAATTTTGGGATGAATCGTAGTTTGAATCACATATTTGGACTTATTTGACCTTGGAGAACACAAGCGAGTTGAAGAAACTCGAGAAATTATCAATCCTTTCCTGATGGTGGTAAATGGTATAGGCGGTGACCAACGTATTTGATGAGCAAGGGGAGATGAATCGGTAAGAGCCAAAGGGAGATGGAAATGAGAGAGAAAATGGGAAATCTAGGGATCGACTGTGTGGAATGATTTCTGAGGTCTCCGGTCAAAAAAACCCTAGTTGGTCGATTTTGTAATGAGAATGATGGGCGCGGGGGAGACGAACGGAGAACATACCTTCCTTTCATATATATATATATATATATATATATATATATATATATATATATATATATATATATATATATATATATATATATATATAACGACACCTTTACACAACACACTTTTTATGATAGGTGTCCTCCATGTTTTTTTTGTTAGACACTAATTTTAGGGCATGCAAAAATGTGTGTCCTCTATTCTTCAAATTTTAGAAAACTGACATGATTTTTAGGACGCGCAAAACTTACGTATCGTAAATCAGTGTGTGTCATTAAATGGTTGTTTTCTAGTAGTGAGCTCTCACGTATCTCAATACATAAGGAAGTTACTCCTTATATACTATTCTTGAAGGATCAATTAAATTGTTCAGGATGCAAGTAAAATTTGTCATTTATTAGATCAATAACCTTTTGTCCATATTTGCATGTTCTTTGTCTTTCATAAGGGAGCTGGAGAGTACATTGATCTTTATTTGCATGTTCTTTGTCTTCGGTCCATCTTTGCATTTTTTTGGAACGAAACTGACTAATGACTTAAATTGATTTGGTCAACTATTCAATTTGAGATGACAAGCAATATAACTTCAACTAAACAAAATGATCATATTTAACTGTAAAATGGCTAGTGTAATCTAAAATTGATTATTAAATCGTTTATTGTATTTATCACAAAATAACCTTATTTTCATCAATTTAACTACCAACTTCATGATAAAATATATACAAAATAAAATATGACCAACACATGTCATTGCAATATAGGTGATGTACAACAACCAAACCTTCAAGAGCAATGTTGTTAGAAATGGTTACGAGGCTTTATCCACAAAACCTATAATGACATGTCATCAATGAGTACTTAAAACATGTTTGTCAGTGTCTAGTTATTTAAAATAAATAAATATTACATATATAACAAACAAGAATCAAATTTCAAACAAAATCTACATAACCCGGTAAATACAAGTAAGCCTTCTACTTTATGAACTTTCATGAAACATGAAAAAGGTACCAACCTTTTCTTCACCATTTCTTGTCCCTTGTGTGCTTTTATGATTCTTTGTATGGAACTACAACGTTTTACTTTTTTTGTATGCAAACAATAAGGTAACGTTCAGTTAAATGAACTAGAAGAAAGTTGCATTTTCTCAAACGTTGTATGGTGTAGCTAAAGAAGAAATGATCGGGGCACAAAGATAAAATAACTGTCGATCAAAAATGGCTGACGGAGAATCTCATCTAGGAGCTAGGAACCTGAGTGCCAACATAACCCAAACCCATTACGATGAAAGCTATACCTTGTACACATAGGTAAATGTAGTAGTAATGCTTTCCAAATGCAAGATCATAGCAACCTGATGCAAAGAGGATAAGACCCACACAAAGCTCTAGCACATGAAGCCTGTATGAGTCCAAATATATATTGTCAGATCATTATTTATATTCATATAATTATGGTAAGATAATTAAGGGGTTTTTTAAGTAACTTAGCCTACGTAAATAATTTTATCTACAAGTATATGGTTTCTTTCTCTCATCTTTTATCATCTTGAATAAATACAATATATTCTTGGATTCTAGTATTTCGAAACACCAGAAAAAAATACTCCCATCAATATGCTTTCTCACACTGGTGTTCGAAGTTTTTAGTCTATTTTTATATATATCTTTACTAGGTGCGAGACCCGTGTAATACACGAATTAATTTAAAAAAAAATTAAATATTAA